TCCTCCTCTTACCTCCTTTATCTACCTTAAGTCCAGTGTCACTTTATTTCTGATTGCTTTTAGAGCACATCTTTCCTCAAATTTTGGACCTATCAAGAGTTTAATGTGACACATAGTGAGACTATTTAAGCCATTCCTTTGTTAAAACCTAGCATTCTCAGCTTCCTCTACCAACTTTCATCTCACTTTACTTCCAGTGAACTCCCTATGTTAGAGGGCTAATTCTTATACAGTGATATCACTTTATAAGGGCTTCTTTTTCAGCTCTTCTCTGTCATTCTATAGTGTTTAACATTTTACTAGCTTTCTCCCTGGCCTGTCCATGTCTGTGGGTCTTATCTCCAATCAAAGAATCATTGGACAGCTTGTCCAGATTCTTACAGTTGATTTGAAAAGCAATGTGTTTCCTAAAAATAGGTTAAGGTGTCAGCTATGTGGTCCCTTCCTTCCTTCCTTGTTTGTTTTTTTTTGTTGTTGTTTTTTCCAGTACTGGGGATCATAATCAGGGCCTCTTGCATGCTAGGCAAGTCTCACTAAGTTACTTAGGCTGATTTTGAACTCCTCTTTATCCTCCCAAGGAGCTGGGTTTTAGACAGGTGCCTCCATGCATGGCTTTATTTCTTCTTCATTTTGATTCATCTACTTCATTTGATATGTAATTTTATAATCTCAAGTTTGAGATTTTATGTGATTCTTTGTTTCTTTGAAAATGTTTCCTACTTATTATTTGTTCTTATTTTTATTGACTTTAGAAGAGAGTAGTAAATTTAATTTTACACTGTCACCAGAAAATATTATATTTTGAGGAATTCTCAGATTTTTTCTCATTTTAATAAAATTTAGTTTATGACACAATCGTGTTTCTTGAGTCTATTAAAACTTATAGTGGCATCAGTTTTTCTGTTTTAATTATACTTTCTCTCCCTTTATATAGCTGTTCTCTATTTAGTCAATTATTTCTATAATGTTTTTATCTTCAGAAAGGTGTATTTAGCTTATGAGTATAAAAAATCTTTATGTTTGAGTGGCTCAGGAGACTAAGGCTGGTGGATCATGAGTTCAAAGCCAGCCTCAGCAACCTTTTGAGGCCCTAAGCAACTTAGCTAGTCCCTATCTCTAAATAAAATACAAAAAGGGCTGAAAGTATGACTCACTGGTTAAGCACCTCTAGTACCAAAAACAAAAACAAAAACAAAAAATCTTTTGTTTTGTCAGAAAGAAAAATTGGTCCTCTAGAAATATTTGAAGCAGAGATCAATGATTGTGATCTTGTCTCTCAGTTTCTTCAAAGTAAATACAGAGAGATAATAATAGCTTATATTTCTGTTTGTATTTACTTTCAGAGTAATAGGTTAATGGGTGCCATAATTTTTTTTAATGTATCATTTATTTTCCAGAAATTTAATATTCTTTAAATTCTGTCTCTCCCTCCCTCCCTCTCCCTCTCTGTCTCTCCCCCCCCCGCGCGCCTTCTCCCCCCTCCTCTTTTTCTGTCTCTTTGTACCAGGCATTGAATCCAGGGACACTTAACCACTGAGCCACATCCACAGACATTTTAATTTTTTATTTTGATACAGGGTCTTGCTAAGTTGCTTAGGGCCTTTTTAAATTGCTGAGGCTGGCTTTGAATATTATATCATCCTCTTGCCTCAGCCTCTTGAGCTACTGGGATTACAGGCATGTACCACCACACCTGGCAATATTTCATAATATTCACAAAGGTATTCCATATCTTTTTCTCATTCTTATGGGTTTTTTTAAAAGTATTTTTATTAGCACATGGAGTTTGTTCTTGATGAGACAAGTTCAGATTGTTTAAGTATTATGTCTTTATTTCTTCCCTTACCAGTGTGTGTACAACACTGCAAATAATTTTTCAAACAAGTTAGATCTATATTTTCAACAGGAATTATTAATACTTTTAAAGCCCAAAACCTCCCAGCTTTCTCTTTTCCATTATTTTCTACTATAATCACACTTAAAACATAGCATTTATGTGCTAAAGGTACATATAATTATTTTTTAAATTAAGATTTGTTAAAAACTAGAGTGAGCCAGTTCATATGCATAGTAGTTCTGGTTTTCTTAATCTCATCCTTTTTAAAACCAGGAGTGTAGACTATTTAACCACAAAGGTGTCTTCGGCTGCCTTAGTGTGGACTGATACTTATGTCTTTCAATTTGGGTTTATTTTTTTTTTTCATATTGAAACATTTCAATCTGTACTTATAGCTTTGTCTATATTACATACAAGAATGTTGTTAGACATTCTTACCCTCCAGAAATTTAACATTGATATGTTAATATTATTTAATATCAGTCTATATTCAAAAATTTTCAGATATCCCCCCCAAGTTTTTTGATACTAGGGATTGACCCCAGGCACCACTGAGTTGTATCCCCAGGCCTTTTTATTTTTATTTTTTTTAGACAGGGTATGGTGATATTTCATAAGTTGTCCAGGGTGGCCTTCAACTTGCCATCATCTTGTCTCAGCCTACTCTGGCTTCAGTGACCGTGTGTGTGGCACAGTACGTAGCTCTAAAATGTTCTTCATAGATGTTTTTTCTTCTTAGTAGAACAAGGATCACATTTTAAAACTGTTGGTTATGTTGTCTCTATACTGTCCTTTAATAGAAAACAGTGCTTTTTTATGGCATTAACATATTTAGAGAGCCCCTCATTTGAATTTGTCTGAATATTTTCTTCATGATTCAGTTCAGGATAAACATACTGGTAGTAAAGTAAAGTCCATTTATTTTTACTGTACTTCTCACTTAATCCATGCTATGCATTACAAAATCCCAGTGTATACTTGAAACTGCATATAGTAGTGAACTCTCTATATACTATTTTTTATCCTACAAATTCATACCTATGTTAAAATTTAGTTTATACAGTAGGCATAGTAAGGGATTAACAACAATTAATAATAAAATAAAACATTTATGACAATATACTATAATAAAATTGTCAGTATCACTACTCTTGCTTTTGGGAGCCATTATTAAGTAAGTCATTTGAATACTAGCAATATGATACTTCAGTGGTTGATATGATAACCAAGGTGGCTACTAAGTGACAAATGGGCAGATAGTATATACAGTATGGATTTGCTGGACAATGGGTGATGCAGTTCCTGAGTAGAATGGAACCATGATATCATGATATTTCATAATGTTACTCAGAATCATATGTAATCAAACTTGTGAATTTTTGTTGCTGGAATTTTCCATTTGGTATTTTTGGATCACAGTTCACTGTGGGTAATTGAAACCACGCAAAGTGAAACCAAAGATAAGGGAGACTACAGTACATTATATCAGAAAACAACAAAATTATGTCAGTTTGTCTCACTATGCTGGTGCTAAATAACTTCACTAAAATGGTATATACCAGATTGTCCCTTGTAAGAAAGTTCTCTTTATAATTACTAACTTAATGTTGCATAGTTTGAAATTTATTTATTGACAACTATACATATTCTTTTTAATATAAATTGTAAACATGTTTGTATTATAGTAGATGCTAGCAGCAGTGCTATTTATGGATTAATTTCTGAAATGCACTACTAATTTCCCATTTTCTGTCATGTAAAAAATTGCTTATAATGTTTTTTCAAGTTTCTCTAGAGGATAAGATGAAAATTTTTGGTAAATAAGACATTTAAATAATGGTCATTAAAATATGTTAATTTTAGGCTCTAGAACTCATTTCATTTGTTCATTTTTTTCCATAAATATCTTGTTTCCTATAATATATCACCTTATGTTTTGTATTTATTGGTAATCTTTCTCTCAGTTAACTCTTATACCAGTTGTTACAACCAAGTATTTTTTCAGTCATTCTTTCTGTACTTATTAACTGACAAATTTTGTGTAAAGATCAGTTTCTTTCCTTTTTTAAATATTTGATTTTCTCTGTGAACTCATGAATTATTTTTTATCATTATTATAATTCATCATCATCAGTATTATTTTGGATGGCCAGATTGTCCCCAATTTGTTTTGTGGAAGTTTTCTCTAGTCACATTCATGCATCCTTTCAATAAGTTTTCTTTTATCTTTTAACACTTCTTTGCTCTCTGGAACAATATGTACCAGGTTCACCTTATATTTTCATTAGTCTGTTAACGCTGAGGATCTTCATTTGCTCTATTCTAAAGTAAACACTTGTTGTAGAATTACTCCATCTCCATCGATACCACATTTAGCAAAAAACCCATCAAGTTCATTATTTCTGGGTTGGGGTTGTGGCTCAGCGGTAGAGTGCTTGCCTAGCACATTCGAGATGCTGGGTTTGATCCTCAGCACCACGTAAAAATAAATAAGTAAAATAAAGATATTATGTTCAACTACAACCAAAAAAATATTCAAAAAAGTGTTTATTTCTGATGATGTGCACCATCTTTTTGTCCAATGTATCCTCACTGTATAGTCTGTGCTCCCATTTGTCACTTTCTATCCATCAGATATCTCACTGAAGTCACTGTTCTGTGATTAAAAATTACTTGAATTATTTTCCCTCATGTTGGTTATATTATTAATTTTATGTACAGATAGTTTTGTTTCTATATTTGTTTATATTCACTTTTCGAGTTTGCCTTTTTCATTCCTTTTATATTTAAATTTGCTTTTGGAATATTTGAAATATTTGTACGGATACAAAATATATTTTGGAATATGTTAACACAGTTGTGTTAGTCACAAAGATCCATTTCTATCTCTGTAACTTTCATCTTGTTCGATTTCCCACCACCCTCATCTCTCTTTTAGAAAGCCATTTTCATTAATTTCTTTGTGTCCCTCCCTCATTGTGTGTGTGTGTGTGTGTGTGTGTGTGTTTGATTTCTTTCTTAAACACAAAAGGTTTTCTTAAAGAAGGAGCTTCTTGTGTGTGTGTGTGTTTTTTTTTTAGCTTTTGTATGCTTTCAAAATAGCATTCATTTTGTTGTATCCTGAAAGTTTTATTTTTTATATTTCTTTATCCTTTATAACTAGGAGGTCCTGGACGATCTACCATGCCAACCCCAGGAAATACTGCAGCTTTTCGTGCTTCGCTCTGGACCAATATGGAGAAACTTATGGATCATATCTGTGCTATATGTGTACAGGTAAATATTTCACGGGATGCAAAGAACATTGATTATTAACTCACTCCTGGTTATTCAAAATTGTATCATTTGGAGCAGGTTTTTTAAAATCTGAGCATTCAGCCAGATCTTCTGTTCCACTCTTGGAATCCCACCCATTTGGGAGGCTGAGTTGGGAAGATCACAAAAGGCCAGCCTGGTCAACTTAGTGAGATACTGTCTTAAAATAAAAAATAATTTTAAGCAAATACTCTCTAGCAGAGCAGCCCTGAATTTAATACTACCCCCCCACAATCTCTTAGCATTCAAACACCTCCATTAACTGATTGTAATATGTGTAAAGCTCTAGCATAATGCCATTTCCTTTCCCTTATAAGTGTAATTGTTTGTCATAGATGTCAGCAGCAATACTATTTACAGAGTAGTTTCTGAAATGTACCTTGTTTTACTTTGTTTGTTTTTTTTTTAAGTACCCTAGCTTTACATTTGTTTTATTTAAAAATACCCAATTATATATACTCTTACTTTTCCCTCCCTTACAACCTTTTTTAGGTGCAGCATCTACAAAAAGTATTAACTAAGAAGAGGGATCCTGTTTCACACATTTGTTTCATTGAAGAAATAGTCAAGGTATATTTAAACAAAGCTGTTTTTACATCTTCCTTTTAGAAGGTAGAAAGATATGTACCAGGATCATTTGTGTTACTCCCTTACAGCACCTGCATATCCATTGACAGTAGGGAAACTTATTTATTGACAACTATACATATTCTTTTTAATATAAATGTGAACATGTTTGTATTATAGTAGATGCTAGTTGTAGTCCTATTTATGGATTAATTTCTGAAATGCACTACTAATTTCCCATTTTCTGTCATGTAAAAAATTACTTACAATGTTTTTTCAAGTTTCTCTGGAGGATAAGATGAAAATTTTTAGTAAATAAGACATTTATATAATGGTCATTATAATATGTTCATTTTAAGCTCTAGAACTCATTTCATTTGTTCATTTTTTTCATAAAGCACATTGCTTTATTCATTTTCCATGTTCTGAAATTTCCCTTCTGTCATTTGCAAATCTGCTAGCCTCATAGACTATAAGAATATCTTCCAAGCATAGGAATCCTACATCTCATTCATTAATTTTGATGTTTTTTATTATTAAAAGAAAAATTAATCTGTATTTTATTTATTATTAAGTCCTAATGTCTAGTACCCCCCACCCTCCAAAAAAAAAAAAAAGGTTTTTCAGGTTTCCAGCATCATAGTATAGGTAGTTTCACACGTAAGTTCACAGTTTTTAAATATTTTATATACTGTAGTGAGGTAATTTGTCACACCAAGTTTGGTGATTTACTGAAAACAGTTACAGGATCCAGCCTATATTTGTACTCAGGCCTATGATTTATTCAAGTGAAAGGATATGAAGCATAATGAGCAAAGAGGAAAGGTATATGGAGCAAGGTCCAAAGGAAACCAGGTACAAGCTTCCAGGAGTCCTTGGGCTCTGGAGTTACATGAAGCTGGTTTAATTCCTGCAATAGGAATTAATGTTATGATAGCATGATAGGATGTTTCCACTAAGGAAGCCCTCCTTAAGGGAACTGTCCTGGGTTTTTCTCAGGGACTAGTGACTGCCTAAGATGGACCAAAATTCTAGACTCACTGAAGAAAAGCAGATGTTCAGCACAAACCACATTTTTTATACAGCTTAGGTAAAGTGAGCAACTTTTATCAGTTTGAGAATCATGGTGTCCCTTTCAAAACCAAGGACTGAGCTTGCAAGTTGGCCTTTCTATGGCCATTTCAGATCTACTATGTTAGTTATTTTCTGCACAATTTACTGAACATTACTGTACATGTTTATTTACTTCACCCTTATTTCTACTTGACTTTCAATTGTATAAAAGAAGGAATAAGGTATTTTTGTCCATTTGTAAAGTCACTAACTTTTTTGCATTTGCTAATGGATAGGATAATTAATATCAGACCTTCATTTTTATAGGCAAACAACTATATATGTGCTGTTTTCACCCATTTGTTGTGATTTGGCCATCTTTACACATAAACTGATTCACTTGTCTCTATGTGCAGTGGCCATATTTAAAGCTTTTACTATTTAATTATTTTGTATTTTTAATTCCTTTTTAACAGCTAATAGTCTACAGTCAACATAAGAATAATTTTAATGAAACTATTTCTATAAAGGAAAGATTTTCTTTCATGTACAAGCTAGAGTCAAAAGGAAGAGAAAAGTTGGGGGAATCTCATTGAATTGAGAGAGAGATCAGTAGAATAGAGGAAAGGAACCAGGGAAAGAGAGGGAAGGGGGAAGGAACAGGAAAAATGCTGGAGAATGATGTTGACCAAATTATATTTCCATATTGTGTGTATATATGAATATATAATGAATCCAACCATTATATACAGCTATAATGCACCAATAAAAATGGAGAGGAAAAGATTAAAATAAAGAAGTGGTACTAAAGAGGCTTATATTTGTCATACTATTATATTGTGCAGTTTTTTTACATTAAAAACTCAGATCAGTGCTTGACAACAATAAATTATTATAGTAAATGAAAATTGGCAATTTGTGTAGGCCAGATTTTATATGCATTTAATTCAATGAGTTTGTAATTTATAGTTTGCAAACTATGATGTAATTTCTATTTTTAATGTCTACTTGCTAGCTTGTTTCATTTATACATAAAGTTTTATTTGATATTTTCCTTTGTTAAATAATTTTTCTAATATCGTTTTGCTGTAGTTTAATATCTGTAGATTTTTTAAAAAATATATTTGTTTTTGTTTTTTAGAGCAGCTTTAAGTTATAAAAATGCTGAGCACAAAGTATCGATGTTATGCGTTATGCAAATCTCATGTACCATACAAGGCTAACTAAGGCTAAGAGCAAATTCTCAAGTAAATGTGAACCTTAATATAAGTTAATAAGAATAGTTGTTCATCATTTGTAACAAGGGCATCACACCAATGCAAGATACATAATGTGTTATGCAAATGTATAATGTCTTGCATCTGACATGAGAGTATTATACAGAGTAGCCTTCCCAGTTTCCATTCCCCTAAAATTTCCTTACCCTCTACCTATTCACACCTTTCCAACATCCTTCCCCACCCTCTGATGACCACTGATTCATATCTCTAGATTGTCTTTTTCAGAATGTTATATATCGTAGTCTTACAGTACGTAGCCTTTTCATACTGGCTTCTTTCACTTAGAAATATGCATGTAAGGGGCTGGAGTTCTGGCTCAGTGGTACAACGATTGCCTAGCATGTGTGAGGCATTGGGTTCAATTCTCACCACCACATATAAATAAATAAAAGTCCATAAACAACTAATTTATACACACACACACACACACACATATATATATATATATATATCGAAATATGCATTAAGGGTTCTGTACATGCTTGCATGGCTTGGTAGCTTATTTCTTTTTATCATTAAACAGAATCTTTTTGTATGCATATACCTCTCTTATTCATTCATTTACCTATTGAATGGCATCTTGATTGCTTCTGAATTTTGCAATTTTAAGTAAAGCTGCTATAAATATTATTGTGTAGTTTTCAATCAATTTTTAAGTCTATGAGATTTTTAGTTCATTTGGATAAATGAGAGCACTTGCTAGATCATATAGTTAGACTTCATTTAGCTTAAGAAGAAATTGCCAAATTGTTAGAAGTAGCTTTCTCATTTTTGATTCCCACCAGAAACGAAAGTGAGTTCTTGATGCTACACTTATCATCATCATTTGGTATTGTCACTGTTTTGGATTTTAGATAATTCAGTTGTTATGTTGTGGTATCTCATAACATTAATTTGCATTTCCCTATGAATTTTATAAAATTATGTTCATGGAAAATTTTTTCCTTAAGTTCTAAGACGTTTTTATATAGGGAAAAAAAAACTGGCCTGCCACACTAGTTATTTATAGTGTGTGTGTGTGTGTGTGTGTGTGTGTGTGTGTGTGTGTGTGTGTATGCACATACATACATATATTATAATCTGGACTATAGTTATGGTGGAGATTCTTTTTCAGTATCTTAAAATAACTACAATAATTATCTTAAAAGTAAGATAGATTTTTAGCTTTTGGAAAACTGAATCTTAAATATCTTCTTTCTTTATACCTGTACAAGCAAAGTCAAAGGCAAGATAGTATAGTGAATAAGAACTTAAGCTAAGCTTTGTCAATACTGATTACGCAAAGGTTATATAATCATTTAGAATCTCAGATATCAAATGGAGATGGTAATACTTATCATAAAACTGTAGTATTATGAGAGAAAATGAAGCGAAATATAGCCTTAATTCAGAGACTGGCTATTATAATATTATTTCAGTATTTTTAATCTGAAATTTATATTTAGGGTTCATAAACTAACTAAATGCTAGGTACAAAAAGAACCCTGCCATGATGAAAATCACATTTTAAAAAAGTTTTAATAGCATAATTTGCCTGTATATTAATTCATAAAAAATATCAAAAATTTAAATCATTGATCTCATTCTAAAACAAGTCAATATCAGATACTTATTTTAAATATATCAAGATTTGTGTCATTTAAATAAAGTGGATTATGATCTAACATGGTAATTTTGTAGATGTAAAAATACTGAAAATAAGGGGCTGTGGGCTGTGGCTGGGCAGTAGAGCACTTGCCTAGCACGTATGAGGCACTGGGCTCAATCTTCGGCACCACATAAAAATAAAAAAATAAAATAAAGGTATTGTGTCCAATACCTTTGTGAAAATAACTTTGTGAAAAATTGTGAAAATAACTTTCCTTATTTGTGTGTTATCAAGTCTTGTGAGAATTATTAATTTGTTTATATATTTTTTTTAATCAGGGAAAGATAAACATTTGGACTTATTTTAAAGCTTTTAATTGTCAGCTTAATGTCACCAAATCTGCCTTGGTGTTTGCTAAGCTGTTGATTTTTAAATAACAGAAAAAAACTGTGTGTGCTATTATTCACTGTTTCTATACTTGATTAGTTGAGAAGGATTTGTTTTAGATGTCATGTCAAAGAATATAAAGCAATCATAATTGGGTCAAATATAAAGATGAACAAATTATATCAAATATAATAAAATCTGAGGGATATTTTAAGTGTAGAGCCTTTTGAAATTGAGGTAACTTAAATTGAAGTAACTATTTCATTTTCTGCTTAATTTAATAAAAGCCCTGGATGACTTGTAAAATTAGACTGCTATCTTCAGTTCAGATGATCTTTAGAAAACATACCTATCTGTTCATATAATTCATAACATTTTTATGCTTAATGTTCTTTTTCTGTTACTCTGTTGTATTTCCTAAACTTTGCGCAATGGATAGATCATTTATTTTTTAAATGAGAATTTTTGGCCTATTTTCAGACATTTAGAAGATTAATTTTGATATCTTTTAAAACCAGTTAAGAGTTCACTGTATAATCATTAATACTGCGTATAACACTTTGCTTGAAATGAATGTAGCAAATTATTGACAAATTATTCAGAAATACATAGTGGAATACAGGTTGTAGATTCTCATCTGCAGAATTAAAACACTTTAGCTGTGTGTAGGAGTATAGATATGATACTTTTCATTT